TCCATAGATTCTAGAAATGTGTGCATACAGCCTTTATTTCCATCACTGAATAAGGTTTATTCTGTTCCCACCATCTTTCATTGGTACCAACACTCTGTCTGACAGCTTCCTGGTGCTTTTTGTCATCCTCTGTAATGAAGAAACCCAATTTGTATTGTGTTTTGTTTTTGTTTTCAGGTGGGGTTTTTTTAATTCAAAAATTATCCTTGTTAGAATACTACTTTAAGGGACTTCGAAGGAAGGGAGGTTTTTTTTGTTCCTTTTTTGTTCTGTTTTATTTTAAGATATAATGAGAACTTTGTGTGAGCCGCCTGCAGCATCCCTGTTAAAACTGTGATTAATGTCACTGTATAATTCTGACAAGCTGAAGCTCTCTCATGGCATCCATTCATCTCAAGAGTTCCTCTCTAGCTCTTATTTATTTATTGAACAACATGTAAGCACCGTTCCCTTTTTTTTGTCTAAATGTATCAGTGTTTCAGCACAGAGACTTCAAGGTTTCAGTCTTGTTGACAATAATGAGATCATTCAGACAATTACCGCTGTTCCCCCCTCGTATGTTTTTTATTTCTTTTTTAAAAAAACCTCCACTAGTGAAGAAGATTAAAGAAAAGTTAAGGAGCTTTGTCTGTTTCCTGTTATCCATTTGCTAAGCTGGAGGGGGAAAGCAGTGTTTTTGTGTGTATGTGCGTTCCAATTGTATAAAATCAGGGTAAAGACAGCTGTAATGTTTGCAGATCACTAGGGCTTCTTTGGAAGTCCTGCACCATCATCCTGCACCAACATACCCTTTGCTATCCAGGGTCAAACTCTGGAGGTGGGAATAGTTCCAGAAAAACCCAGCTGTGGGTGGCACTGATTGGCTAGCTCTAATGCCATCACCAAGATACCTCCCACTCCCCATATCGCCGAGGCATTTTCCTGTTGTTTTACAACTTATCTTACTCTGTGCACTTGTACTTTTGTACTTTTCATTTTTCAATAAAGAACATAAAATTTAAAAAACCTTGATTTGAAAACAAGACAAGGGATAAATGTAGAAAGTGCTAGGTATACATGTGCTTGCAGTTTTGTTCTAAAGTGGGCAGATCACATAAAGCAAGGGCCCAGACGGATCAGATTGTTTGGGATAATGCAGAGTTGTCACTGATGTCTGTGCCTGAAACCTTAAGATCTCCCTCATACAGCTTGCAAGTTGACTTTGTTTTCTTCAAGTCACTTCATTAGTCTAGGATTCTGTTTCAAACTTTAGCTGACCTGAAGCACCTCAGACTCATTGCCCAGCCCTGACATCATATCATCACCCACCTAAACCCATCACCCAACTCCTGAAGACTTTCCCTCAAATTTTCTGGGGATTTTTGCCCATGGTAAGATGGGCCTGAGGTTGTCTAACAGCTCGTAAGGACAGAAATTTGCTGGGAAGCCAGCAACATTAAGCCAAGGCACCCTGTCACAGCATTTGCTTGCTCAGTTATACTTGTAGCAGAAACAAATCTCATTAGGAGCCTGTGACTGTCCTGCTAATAACAACTGCTTTATTCATGCAAAAGAAGAAGAAAAGAGAGGGGTGGAAGAAGAAACCCTCAATGTACAAATGGGAACAGGGCAGTGGGGTGACAGAGAAGAAAAGTCCCGTCAAAACTAGATTAAAATAACATCAAAGAATGAAAATAAGTGAATTCAGAGTTTAACTATGAAACTCTCTTTCCTGCTGTGTATCTAGATACTGCAGGAGCCTCAAAGCCATGATTAGCTTAGACACCAAAGGCCGAACGGTACAGTAGATCAGCTCACACAGTTATAGATGACATCAAAGCAAATTCCACATGAAGGACAAGGGCAGGTGGTACACAGCGCTACATGCGCCTCAATCAACATGGTCAATGGGGTGTCCTAGGAGCTGTTGCTAAACACACACACACACACACACACACACACACACACACACCAATATCCACAGTACTTGCTTAAGTTTTCAGGATCTGCACCATCCTGCCAAGCCTTGGGATGCTGCTCAGATTTGCCGCTGATAAGAACAGCTCTGCTGGATCAGGCCAATCTAGTCCAGCATCCTGTCCTCACAGTGGCCACCAATGGGAACCCATAGTAAGCAGCACCCGAATACAAGAGCACTCTGCCTCCCCTCCTGTCATAGCCACGCAATACATTTAAAGCAGGTGGCTCCTCCCAATCCTGGAAATTGTAATCTGACCCTCACCGAGCTACAACTCCCATGATTCTTTTAGAGGAAGCCATGCACTTTAGATGGTTCTCTTCCCTATTTCTACACCAATAGCCCACTGTCCATATGCTATCTTCCCCAGTTAAAACACAGAGGTTTTGTTGAGAACTTAACCCAAAGCCTTCACTCTGGTCAGGGACTCACTGCTCATTGTGGGCAGCTACTAAACAGTTGTCACTCTGGCTTCAGCTCTTCTGGAGTACTGCTGCAGGAGTTTTGCTCTTTGCAGACCTTTAGATGTTCTTCCTTTATCTGTAAGCCGCCTTGAGTCCCTGTCAGGGGGGGGGGAAAGGCGAGGTGTAAATAAATATAATAATAATTCAGCCTTCTGAGATACCAGTTTGGTGGCCTAACATCTTCCTCTTTGGACAGCTGCTGCTTCCTGCTGCTAGGACCTCTCAGCCCTAGTGTGGGTTCTTCTGTGTCCTTGTCTTGGTGCAGCCTCTTAATCAATAACCAATCAAATGTTGCACTCTGTCAACCCATCCATTCAAGGGCCAATGAATACAAATGGAATGCCCACTAAAAATCTATCTCAGTCTGAGCTTTTTTATTCTACTGTCTTATATAAAAGCTGGTCTTTAATGTCAACAGACATAACAGAAAACTTCACAAGGTACAAAGTCACTGCATTGGCCTAGCTGGTCCTTGACAGGATGCCAACTGAAGACCTAGTCATTTTATCTCCCAGGCCTCCATTAGAAACAAACTGTCAATCTTTGCCCTTCAGTTAACTATCCACAAAACTTTTTTAAAAAAAATTATAGAACAGCATTCATACATATAGATTTATATATCACTTATGTAACTTTAACTTCATAATATTGCTGTATGTCCGCAGGACCTAAAACCAGAAATGTTGTGGCAAGAGGTCCTAAGGGGTTGTAGCTTCCCATCTGTGGAATGCTCTCTCAAGCAAGGTCTGCCAGGCACCTTCATTGACATATTTTCTGCACTAGGTAAAGACTTAAGCTCCCCCTACCAGGCTTTTGACAGACTAAGATGATGTTACTTTGTTACTAGTGTGTTGCCAAAGCTTCCTGTGGCTTTTATGGGGTTTGTTGTGTTCTGCTTCAATATATTCATATTTATATTTTAAATGTGTTGCAAATTGCTTGGATGCCTTCAGGTAACAAAAGGCTTAAAAGTCTAAACAACAACAACAGCACCAATAATAATTGTGTTAATGAGCAGTTAGGTAAAATACTGACTGCCCACTTTTTATTGCATTGTCCACAAAAACAAGGAAGAAGAACTCTTTTCATATATACAAAAGCTGATCGTTCCGGTAAGAGCCTGTAATATCTCCAATGGGAAGATAACCATTCCCAGTCCAGGCTGGAGCAGAGCCTGTGACAGACTGCCATGGAGTCTAGCATAAGACAAAGGCATGTGAATTAGAGGCATAGCCATGAACAAAGGTCAGCGACCAATCAACCATACAGGAGGCCAGAGGCAGGAAAGGCTATAGACCACATACCCAACTGACAAATCCAGATTGCTATTCACTGTAAGAAGTTGCTCAGGCTAGTGTAGAAGGAAGGTTCTATATGGCCTTGCCTGTCTCCATTGGGTGGAGAGGTCAGCTGATCACCTTCAGATTCCAGGGTCAGCTGAAAGCACTCAAACCAGTACTGCATCCTAGAGGGAGCCCTAGCCCAGAGTACTGGTGACTCAAAGAAGGTAAGGCTCTGAATACTGGCTTCTGGAGGTCCCAGCTTAAGACCTCCCTTCCACCCCTGGTAAAACATGAGTATTTTTTTTAGCAAACCAACATATTCTGTGGCCTATCAGACTCAATGCAGCCTGGGCATACCAGGTGTTCTGACAAACCCCTGGCTTTGCATTCCATAATAGCCAAAAAACAAACAATTAAATGAGCCCCTGGTGGGTCACCATATGTGGTTGGTGGGCTGCATTACCTTGGTTTGGTCACCAGTTGTTCAGATCTGTTGCCTGACCTCAGCAGGGTAACTGGATGGTATTGATCAAGGATACTGCAAGTGCAAAGGAAAGGAAAACCACACAGTTATCTGACTGAATGACCAGTTTTAGCAGGAGCAACAATGAGAAAAATTAGCAGCTGGGATGATTTTTCCCCCCAGCCGGCAGGGAGGTTGGAGAGTGATGTACTGAAAACAAATTTCTGAAGCATCAGAAACTAAAGAGGAAATCATTTTCCAGGTGGTCGATGCAGACTTTGGAATGTTCATAAAATGAGATCTAGCTGAAAATAACACCTGTTTTTCATTTGGCAAAGCATCCCAAATGAAGTAAGCGTTCACCCCACACCCATTATCCCTCCAGTGCTTATTGTCCATGATCATTCACTTCATCTTTCTCAAGAGGCACATGTAATAACGAGGGAACCTGTACATATTTTTTAGATGTCCCACAACCCCTGATCTATAGTGGTATGATAAGTCAGCTGTGCCTTTCTTTGGAAGCCACCTGGCTGTAGAAGCAGGGCTTGCTTTGCCTGCATTTTAGAACAAACTGAACCACTTCACAGCTCCTGAACTGAGTTGTAGGTAATAATCAAAATTTGGCAATTTTGGTTCAAAGTGTCCAAAATGTGCATTTTAAGGAAATTTAATTAGATTTGTGTGTTGGTTTCACTGGCATGTGCTATTTTACTATTTACACTACTTACCTAACCTTTAAAGGAAAATATTTTAGAGCATAGACCCAAAGGCAGGCTACAAATTAATAAAGCAGTTTTTGACGCTCTTAATATGCTTTGATCTGTTTCCAGGCACTCTTTGAGATGCTGACTTTCATCTGTAAAACGGCACATCACTTGCAACCCAGTTCTTCAAGGCCGAAGTGGAGAAGGGTTCCATGTGAACAGCAGTTGAACAGGTCAGTTCCTAAGAGGTAGGGGAGCACCATTCCGAAAGGGCAGGCAGTGATCTCTGTTGCCCTTGGCCAATCAAACAGGAGTTGGGTTCAGATCCCTGAATCTGGAGTGGCAGAAATGGGCACCAAGATGTGTCCAGGGCTGTAATGCAACTGATCCTGGAGAAGCTGGCGGGAGCCCTGGGGAGAGTTCTCTTTTATTTGTGAAGGCCAGGGCGCCCTGGCATGGGTTTGCCTTGAGAGAAGGGCCTGAGCCTTGGAAAGCATTGGAGTTCCAGCAGTGATTCTGAATAAACACCGGGAAGAACTTTCTGACGGTAAGAGCTATTTGACCGTGGAACAGACTCCCACGAGAGGTGGTGGGAGATGGCTGGCCATCTGTCATAGATACTCTGGTTGAAATTCCTGCATTGCAGGGGGTTGGACTAGATGACCCTTGTGATCCCTTCCAACTCTACAATTCTATGGTTTAGTGATTCTATGAGCTTCCAAAGACCTCAAGGACTCCCAGCAGGTGAGATCCTGGGATCCATGAGCCTTGTGTTTAGAAGCTGGTAATCAAGATTGTGAGTTATTTTTGCTTCAGCAGAGTGTTTAGGGCAGCCTTTCTCAACCATGGATCCCCAGATATTCTTGGACTACAGCTCCCATCATAACTAACCATTGATCATGCTGGCTAAGAATGATGGGATTTGTAGTCCAACAGTCTAGGGACCCACAGTTGCGGAAGGCTGGGTTAGAGTGTTGGACCAGGGTTCAAATCCCCACTTGACCATTAAACTCAATGAGTGAACTTGGGTCAGTCATTGCCTCTCAGCCTAACCTACCTTACAGGTTTGTTGTGGGGATTAAACCAGGAGGAGGACAACTTTGAATTCCTTAGAGAAAAGGGTGGGGTATAAATGAATTAACAACAACAAAACCTGTGGCCCTCCAAATGTTGCTGGGCTCCAGTTCCCATCATCCCTGACCACTAACCACTCTTCCTGCGGTAGCTGAGTGTCGGAATCCAACAACATCTGGAAGGTTGAAGGCTCTACAGTAGTCACATTTGGTCCAAAATATGGGGGAGGGAACTGTACTCCTGAAACAGTACTGCTGCATAGGTTTTAAAAGAATCCCTGTACCTGAGCTTCACCTTTTATTTTTGAGCATATAATTCTGGACTTCCTACACAAACACAGAGTTGCAACAGACAACCAGACAGGATGAGAGATGTGTGCAGAACGTTCTTGCGCTCGCCTCCAAACCCAGTGCTCAAAGGCCAGTGTGGACTTTGTATTATTCCTTTTGTACGGAGATTAATCTGCAGTGTAGAATTTTTCTCTATGAACGCCAAGCCAAGCCATTTCCTTCCCAGAACATGCTTTTGGCAATGCCGGCTGCTTGCTATTCACTGGACTTGACTGCAGGCCAAACCTTAACATCTTTACATATTTCTGACTCGGGCAAACCTCCAATAGCGATTGATGGAAGTTTTGCCTGAGCAAACACACCAGAATTAGTCCAAAATGTGTAGATCAGACTCTGCAAGGGTATGCACACGCACACACCTATGGCTGTGTATACACCATACATTTAAAGTGCACGGCTTCCCCCAAAGAACCACGGGAACTGTAGTTTACCTCCATAGAACTATGGTTCCCAGCACCCTTAACAAATCACAGTCTACAGGATTCTTTGGGGGAAGCAATGTGCTTTAAATGCAGGCCTGTCTTAAGCATATGTGGCGCCGGGGTGCAAAGATCTGCCCAGGGCCCCACCCCCAGGTTGCCCAGCCCCAGGCACGCAGGAGGGCAGAGCCAGCCAGCCACCTCAGCTTCTCACTGGCTCAGTTGCCCCAGAACTCGCAGCACAGAGCCACCCGCAGCAGAAGAGCCCGCTGTGGTGCTCCAACCGAAGGGTGGGCTCTTCCCTGGAGACAACTCTCGGGCCCGGACTCTCAGCCTGGCGCCCCTGAAAGCCCGGTGCCCGGGTGCCCCGCACCCCTAGCACCTATGGGTAAGATGGCCATGTTTAAATGTATGGTTTGTACACAGCCCTAGTTCTGGACCTGAAAATTAGAGCCCCTTCACATGTCACTACTGACACCCACTATAAGACCAACCCTCACGCCATTGAGGCTCTACTAGGTTGGGTCACTGAGCGTGCATTACAGTATATTTCTAATATCTACACTGGCTTTCTTTCATTGGGCTCATCCACACTGTCATTTTAATGCGGACAATAAGCTTCCTGTTACCTGTACCTCCATTTATTCTCCGTTGCCCATATGACGTTTTCCTCCTAATCACTGCCTTCCCACACTGTCCCCTCCTGCAATCCAGATTTTCTCAAACTGTCTCCTTTCCGGAGTATCTGTGGCATAAGAAAATCCTGACTGAGAGAGGGGGGAAATGTGGGAAGGCTGTGATTTGGAGGAAAACATCATACAACAACAACAACAACAACAACAACAACAACAACAACAACAACAACAACAACAATTTATTTATTTATACCCCGCCCATCTGGCTGGGTTAGCCCAGCCATTCTGGAGACAGACAATGGAGAATTAATGAAGTTACAGAAAGTTTACTATCCACATTAAACAACATTATGGATGAGAGGCCCATTGTTCTCTTGGCACAGTTTAAGGCACCCATTTTGACCCATATTCTCTTAAACTACTTTCCACTCAAGGACCGCATTCCCTTCTGAGTAAGCTTCCTAGGAACATATATTCCAGTGGTGGGTGGGGCCAGAGGCAAAAGTGGGTGGGACAATGGGTGTCAATTATCCCTTTGCACAGTAGGCTAGTTTCTCTGTACACTCACACACCACTCTTCATCATTCATCCATGAAAGCAAGAGGCACAGCTGTACTGGGCTGGGGCTGATGGAAGTTGTAGTCCCAAAACATCTGGAGGGCACCAGGTTGGCAAAGGCAGCTCCATGCAATGTAAGATAATGGTGGTGGTGGTGGGTCCTTTGATGCTCTTGGGAGGGGGGCTCCTCCTGCTAGCCCTGTACAAAGAAGTGGCTTGTAGAATGGGGGAATGTGACCCGAACCAACACTGGTGATAAAATGACGTTCACCGTAGCCACTCAGAATAGAAATCAAGGCAAAGCGAATTCCGAATAGGTCCTTCTGTCTCTGTTTGTGTTTTGTCTGGCACCGATATCGCCGCCCAAGCTCAAATAATAATGCAAAACATTCATGTTCTCTTCTGAATCTCAGCCAAAGGGGAAATCGTATCCAGGCAAACTTTACACAAAATCCAATCATCAGGCGTAATGGGAATCAAATGAACAGGATGATTGGATGCTTTAAAAAAAAAAAAAAGACACACAGAGAGAGAAGCAAAGAAAGAAAGAAAGCAATGGAAAGAGGGGACGGCCAAACAGAGAAGAAAAAGGTCTGTTCTTGAATGGAACTTGACCAATAAGGATCAGCCAAATCATCTGGAAAACATACATTGGATTTGCTGTGCTAAGTTGACGATTAGGCTGGCAAGGTATAAGAAACATCTTAATGGAATCCTGATTACTCAAGGTGTTGCCATTCTGATTGTGTTGATAGTTTAAATGCTTGTTTGCGATGGAATCAGGGTTGTGGCATTCTGGGCGAATGTTGTTTCTCTCTCTTCTTTCTTTCTTTCTTTCTTTCTTTCTTTCTTTCTTTCTGGTTAAAGAAAGCATTTTGGGCTCATGTACAAGCTGGGTGGTTTTCAAACTACAGGAAGATGCTCATGAAGGATCCCAGTGATTCCATACATGTAGGAGTGTGATGAACGGACTTCTCCAAATCTGGGTTGCCAAGCAGTCCTTGTGTGAAAAGGCCTTCCTACCACAAACCAACACAGAAGTAACCACTGGAGGGATATGTGGCCCTCCATACCCTCCTCTCTGGCCCTTGGAATTCTCCCAGGTCACATCCTTTACTGACTGTGCTTCACGCCCCAAGTGTTTTCTACTTAACTGGATGGTATCCGTGGACTCTGGATTGCCTGGGTGGGCAATTCAGTGAGGCATGTGTAGAAATTACTAGCCTACTGTACAAAGGTGAAATTTACATTCATTGCTCCTCCCACATTTGCCTCTGGCCCCACCCACCACTGGCATGTGGTCCCTGAAAGGGTGTCCAGAAGGAAATGCTTCATGCTAATATCTTAAACCTGTGCAGGACCATCCTCTTACAGATTCTGCAATATTACACAGCATCTCCTTCTATTTGCCCTCTGTTTCAAGCACAATTTAAAATTCCAAAAAAACCTTGCGATGTTAAAATTGAATAACCATGGGTGATCCCAAACTATAAATGCATCTGAAATCCAAAAAAGGAGGGAGGTTTCCTTATTACTCTAGCATACACATAATATAAGCTCATTATAGAGGCATTTGGCTTTAAAGGCACATGTAATTTAAATGTAATCTAAAGTTCAGAGCTTTCTTTATTGCACCCACAGCTCAGCTTGCCTTTTTGAGCTTCATTTAAACATCTGAGCAAACTCTAGTTCATCATGTTTTTGTTCCCCTGTGCCATTGATCTCAAAAAAGCCCACGGTCGCCTTGTGTATTATCCATCTTTAACTTTTTACATCTGTTTTGGTTCCTCTTCCTCCTCCCACCCCATCCCACAAGTTTCTGGTTGATTTAATACTTTACCAGGTGAGCAATTGATCCTTTTGTCTCATCTTTTCAGCCATACCTCCACCAAGTGAAAAGCATTGGCCCTAATACTGTCCCACCCCCACCCCATGTTTCAAGAGGCAGACTTCAAGGAACCTCATGCCTGCTCCTTGCATCTCTCTCCACCCTGAGGCTTATTAGTGTTGGCCTTGACCAGGAAATCGTTTGGTAAACACACATCTAGCTTTCTGAGATGATACTGGTGTGTGATGTTTGGGACTGGAGCTGAGGTTGTTGGATCCCCCTCTACCCCAAACCTCTCCCCCCCCCACCTCTGACAGCTGCACCTCACTCTTAATTTCCCTTTTTCCCTGCCATTGTTTCTACACATCA